CCACGTTCTGCCTGCTGTTGCCTTCCAGCAGGCTTTAACGCGACTCCTGCAAGGGGAAGAGCAGGGGAAGGGAGGAGAAGGAAAGGCAGCAGCAGCTCTCTACGAGACACAAAGGCATTCATGCTGTAGCTCACAACCCGCTTCCTTCCCTTCTCTTTCCACAATACAATCCCTAGAGCACCTTATTTGCTTCTTGGACTTCCGAGAGAAGCCCCGAGCCTGACACCTCACCCAGCCTCCCCGCAGGCTCCGACCGGCACAGGGACCCTCCCTGCACACCCCAGATCCTCTGGCAGCGGGCATAAACCTGCGGAATCCAAACCTGCAGGTATGCAAAACCCTCAAATTTTGATTCTTCCTTTCCAAATCAGGTTCTGCTCGGAGCCAGCTCCCTCCACCCCCAGCCCTCCCCACGCTCCATCCAACCACCCCTGGTATTTCCTGCACCACGGAGCTTTCGATCCAGGACTCTTTACTCGCCGTATTTTGTCCTTCTGCTTTACAAACCACCGATTCAAACTCCGCTGCCACTTCACTTGGCTACGGAGACAAGAGTTTACTTTCTAAGATGGTACAAACCTCCAGAACACGGCCAGCCCTCGGAAGCTTGGTGGGCCCCAGCCCCACAGCAAAGTTCACGCAGGGAGAAGGCAGCGGGTGCCGGTGGCTCTTCCCGAACAGCAGGGGAAGGCGCTGGCAAACGCACGGCCCAGCCTCGCTCCGACAGACCGAGCCTCATTCAAGGGCTTTATGAGACCTTTTTCCTTCCGATGGCATGAGGTGCATCTTATACCTTTTCTATCTAATCTTCGAGACGCGCACGAGGTTTAGAGCTGACCAGGGAGGGTATCGACACTGGGGCCAAGTAAATAACCGGAGTAAGCCCACGGCAATCTGGCTCCGGGGCGAGACATCGGGCGCCAGGCAGGACAACAGCTCGCCCCCTCCGCCGCTGCGCGCAGAGAGGGGAACGGGCGCCAGCGCGCTGAAGTAGTTAACGGCACAGAGCTGCGCAACAGCCCGATATTTTTGGAGGCAGTTGTTTCAACAAAAAAATGGAAAAAAAACCCAAACCAAAACAGATTCTCCAAGGCAGGAAAGGACACCCAGCACCGAAAACCTCACTCTAGCTCCTGCAACCACGATACAACGGCGGCTTTTCACAGACGAAATCGCATCAGACTCCCCCCTGCTCGCAGAAAGCGTCCAGCCTCTGCGGGGCCCTCGTGAAAGCAGGATAGATACAGCCTCTCTAATGAAGATTTGTGAAGCGGTACAGAACTGCAGGCAGCTTTACTCCCTGAGGCCTACGGAACAACCACACGCTTTGCCCAGAGCCCACGGCAGAGAAGTGAACTGAAGAACCCCTAAGCCCCCCCAGACCTCCAAGAGAATCAACCCCAAGGCGGTGGAAGGACCCCCCCTCCTGTAAAGCAGAAAGGCTTCGGTCACGCAGCGTCACAGATCCCGATGCTTGCACAGGGAAGCCACTTCCCTGGCTGCCAGGGCTGCCTCTGTGTTTTGTTTAAGAGTCATTATTTACATAGCTTCATACAGCCTAAACTAACTTAGGAATTCAGCTCGTGTTCTGCATCCCATGCCCCTCAAGTCAGAGCGCAGGGGAGCACGTTTTGGGTTCGTTTGCTGCAGCAATGTCTGTGTGCCCTGCTGTGGCTTGCAAGCTGCCGGGAGGCGCGGCTGCGATTTGGCAAACCCCGGCGATGCTCTACACCTGCAAACCCGACGCAGGGACCGTGGCAGCCACCGCCTCCGGCTTCAGGGGGCAAAAACCGCAACTCACAACCATGGCGTGCCAGAGCAACGCCTGCACCGTGGAAAAAAGTAAAAGCACTACTGTTCAATGACACCCTCTTTATTCAAAAATAGATATCTATGCGACATTTCAGAATATACTGCTGCCGCAAATGGCAGCCTATACGTCTAAATTAATTCCTAAATCAAGTCATATACAGATTTGAGCTTTTGTTAAAAAAGACACGCTTTGGGGAACTCTGTTTAACCTCGAGAGAACATCGCCCGCTTCACCAGATGCGCTTTGCCCAAAAAGTAAAACAAGTAAAATTAAAAACCACAAGACTTCCATTTAAA